TATTTGTGGAAATGTTCCAGTGTCCTCACTATGGCAAGTAGTTCTCGACGGGTGACACAGTAGTTCCTCTCTGCTTTGTTTAGCGTCTTGCTGAAGTAAGCTATGACACGCTCTTGTCCGTCCTGGATTTGAGAGAGAACTCCTCCAATTCCGACATTACTTGCATCTGTGTCCACAATGAATTTCTCTCCTGGCTGTGGGTAGGCAAGAATAGGGGCAGCACATAGGGCACCCTATAGTGTTTCAAACGCGGCCTCAACTTCTTGAGTCCACTGGAAGGTTTGTTTCTCTTCCATTAGCCTAGTTAGTGGTTTCGCAATGTTGGAAAACCCTGAAATAAATCGCCTGTAATATGCACATAGTCCCAGAAAGCTTATAAATTCATGTTTATCCTTCGGGGTCAGCCATTCTCGCACGGCTTTCAACTTCTCCGGGTCGGTGGATACCCCTTCTGATGATAGAATATGCCCGAGGTACCTGACCTCTTCCTGCAAGAGTTTACACTTTTCCGGGTTAAGTTTCAGACGGGATTCCCTGAACCTCTCAAACACTTTCCGTAGGTTGAGCATGTGCTCTTGGAATGTGCGGCCTGTTACGATCATGTCGTCCAAATACACAAGGCATGAATCATATGTGAGCCCTCGTAGGACTGTCTCCATTAGCCTCTCGAAGATTGCCGGGGCATTGCAGAGGCCAAAGGGCATGACTATGAACTGCCATAACCCTTGTCCTGTCGAAAACGCTGTTTTCTCTTTGTCGTCTGGGTGTACATCGACTTGCCAATAGCCACTCTTTAAATTGAGAGTTGAAAACCATTTGGCTCCGGCCAGCGTGTCCAGGGTGTCCTCAATGCAGGGTAATGGAAAGCAATCCTTCTTGGTGATGTCGTTAAGCTTTCTGTAGTCCACACAGAAACGGAGCTCCCCATTCTTTTTCCTGACCAAAATGACCGGGGACGACCAAGGGCTGTCCGATTCTTCTATAACACCCTGTCCTTGCATGTTTTCGAGCATTTCCATTACTTCTGATTGTTTTGCCAGGGGTACTCTCCTCGGTGGCTGTCGAATTGGTCGGGGTTCTCCCATGTCTATGCGGTGATATACTCTGTTTGTCCTTCCATAATCTTCGTTGTCTTGTGCGAAGATATCGGCGTACTCGGACACGTGATCCTCTAACTCCTGAAATTCTCCGGGGCTTAGGTGTGGCTTGGCCGCTGTGGTCACATTAGCTAATTTCGGTGTTAGACCTGGTGCTGGTGGCTGCCCCACCTCGGGCAAAGCCACGAGTATTACTGGCTCACAGTGCGCCAGAGGAGATCCTCTCCTGAGCTTTTGGTCCTTGTGGGTAACATTCATGACCCTCACTGGTACTTCTTGACAGTCCTGAACTAGGGTCCTGGCTACGTAGATTCCTTCAGGCGGGTGGGCCTGGGGACTTGGTTCTACTAGACCATTCTCTACTCCCAGATGATTCTTCATTTTAGCCATCACTATTCCCTCGCTCCGTGTGGGTATCACATGGTCCTTTGCCACCACTAAGCTAGAAGGACGGGGTCCTGCCCCAGGACTCCATAGCGATACTTCTTCTCCCGCCAGATGCAGAGTTTGGCGCCCTATATCCACTGAAGCATCATAGGCGCGCAGTATGTCTAGTCCCAGGATGAGCTCATCGGTGATATTTGGTACAAATCACGGCTACAATTAATTATAACACAGTTGCGGGTTTCCACACTTTACAAACCCTACAACCAAAGTCTTCACGTACTAATAACGCGGGAGCTATACAAATCTCCCTGAATTACACACTCCAAATATAACTGTACTACAGCACTCACTAAGTCTCGAAAGCACACAATAAGTCTTCCGCTCGCTGACTTCTTAGTTATCGCACACTGTCACATAAAATCTTGTAACTACGCATTCGGGTCTTCTTATCGTGACTGCTGCTATATGTCAACTCGACTCACAGGCTGCTACCTTGAGAACTGTTGATATCACACACTGACTCGTAGGCTTGCTCGGAACTAACTGTGAATAGCCTTCGCTGCTCCTTATGTAGCCTCGTTCCGGACCATTGTTGTCTGGTGCCGTGTTGCTAGCAACGCTATCCGTAGTTGTTGACTGCTGCCTAGCAACCACGATATCACTTGGTGACGTCACCGCTGTTGACTCGCTTTGCATAGCTACCAGGTTGCGGGGACTCGGCTAACTTCGGCTCCACTCAGCTCACTTCGGCTCCGCTCGGCACGTCACCGCGGAGAGAGTGGCGGGGTGATGACTCGCCTATTACGAGAGCGCTACGTTACCGCCACGTGCTGCTGGGGAGGTAGGGGTCCTCCGTTGCGCAACATGTCACACTATATTTGCTATTTTTAACTATACACTAATCTGAGGCAAAGTTTTTATGTTAATATTTAATATGACCTGTTGCACCGATAAGGATCCATATCAGTATTTCAATAACCATATGTATTCCTACCTGATGATGGTCATGTATGCCCGAAACATGTCGCAATAAATAAAGATCTAAATGTAATAACTGAAATATTTGTTGTGTTGACAGTAGCATAGTTCCTACATATTGTATATTGTTTGTGACACACAAGAGGCTGCAGCCTATAAAAAAATGATATTGTTGTGCTACCTAACAACGAGTTGTAGCACAGTCCACAGCTCCTATTTTGTGTGTATACTGAAATATGTATACTGAGTCTTGCCTAGCAGTGGGTATGTGCATCACATTATCATTTTATTTACAGTTTTTTCTTCTCTCTTTCGATTATTTTTATTGCTCCTCTGTGGACTAATGGTCAGAGTTCCTGGCTACAGATCCACAGGTCCAGGGTTCGATTCCTGGTGCTACCAGACTTCCAGAGAAATAGTGGGTATGGAAGAGGGTTCACTCAGCCTCGTGAGGATAATTGAGGAACTACTTGAATTGAAAAGTAGTGGCTTCGGTCTTGAAAACTGAAATTAATGGCCATGGGAATCCATTGCACTGTCTACACGACATCCTTTATCTGCAAAAGTTGCCACTAACTTCACTGACAAGCGGCGGTTGCTGAGTCGATATAGTTCTCTTGTGGACTAAAGGCACAGATTTTAGAATTTTATTATCACTCACTTGTTTAAATGAATTCCGTCACATATCATTCTTGCTCATTCGTTACCTGAATACTTTATATGCCACTGTTACACTTTGTCTTCCACTGTTTTCATCTGTTACTTCTTGAGTACTTCTATTTTCCCTGTCATTTCTCACTCCCCCACCTCCTTGACATTTATCAATCATCCTATCATCAGTGGTGTACCATCTCAATAACTCAGTAATGATACCATCATTATACAGCTAGCTTAAAAAAATTAAATAATTTGGTTCGCTCCGTTTCCGTGTACTCTATTTTTAGTACATATGCCACTCTGAATATATCTGCTAGCAACCTATTACCACTTCCCATGCTGGTGCTACTGTTAGGTTAATATTTATTATAAAAATATCTATTACTAATAAAGAAGCTGTTGTTCCTATTCATGTATTAATGTTTGTTTAGGGGCTAGAACTACAATGCATATTGTTTCATTAGCAATATTTCATTCTTATCTTCGACTCATTGCTCTCATTTATATATTCATGGTTTATTTGATAACACTTCCAATGGCTCCAGTTATACGACATCAGAGTATAGGATTATTGAATAGTGAATAGGAAATGATGTGAAAGAAAGCAGTCATGGCCTAATCTGTTATCCTATCCCACCATTTGTCTTGAGGGATTGAGGGACTGAGGAAAACCATAAATAATCTCAGTCAGGATAGCCAGTATTTGAACCTGGAACCTCATAAATATGAAGCAGAAGTGCTGACCACTCAGTCACTACTTTTGGTGAAAGGTATATATTGTGTTATTTGTGATATTTATGAAACTGCCTGGAAATTTGTGCACAATTTTTATACAGTGCGTACAATCAAGTGCGCACTTGATTGTACGCACTGTAGCATATAGACTAATTTTTTGTGTGGTTGAATATATTGAACTGTGGCAATGTGCTTTCAGAACCCAACAATGATAGTCCAATGAACGCGCAAGCAGCAGCCCTGTGGTCAGACAAGGTTGAAATGAGACAGCATGTTCTCTTTGAGCACAAGAAGAGTGAGTCTCAGTGAAATTTACAAGTGACATTAGAATTTGAGACCATACTTTCTGTGACTTATATTTTGAAATTGTCATCAATGTACTTGGCTTTGTTAGCCAGTGTTCTTAGTTTATTTGTACTTTAACAGCTCAGTAGTGCACTGCAAGAAATTTATTTTATATTGTCACAAAATTTTGAAAAAATTTATTTTCACTTGTCAGATGTTTATATTCCAGCATTTCCTTGGCATGCATATTATTCTTATTCTGATTAGCAGTTCTGTGAATGTAACAGTTTGACACTCTTACATGCTTTCTTGATAAAAAAGAAATATCTTAAAATCTAAGGTTGAATTCAGTGCAACATATTTGGTCAGTAGCAAAAAGTGCAACATTTTCAACATTGCCGTCATGTAAACAAAGTAAATTCATTTGATTGCTTCTTAAGAGTCGCCAAATCATGAATGAAAGTTTGAATTTTAATACTGTTTGGGTAATTGTGTTGTATAGAGAGAAAATGTTTGCATATAAATTTATGCTGTCACAGCAGTAGTCATGAGAGCAAAAAAGTGCAAAGCTCATAAATACACTTATTACGTCTTATGATGCATTTATATTTATAATTGCTTCCATTTGTTATTTCATAAAATTGTATGTTTCCACTTCTTCAGATATATATTCTACAGAAAAGAAGTAAATAGTTTTACTTTCAGATGTGTTATTTTATATGTAGATATGTATCCATTCTTCAGAATACAGTTTCTATTGTGTATGTGTTATCCTTTCGGTTATGATTTGTGTATATTACAGAATTAAAACTCCTTTCCACTGGTTTACACATACATTGTTTTCCTTTCATCCTCTGAACATTTCTTTTGCAGTGTTTAAGTTCCATAAAAACAGGTATGGAAAATGGAATTTTCCATGGTAATCTGTCCCTGTGTTCTGGCTTTATTATGAGTATAGTGAACACAGATTATTTCCTGTCATAAACCCCACTAACATTTATTTCTATTTTCATCTACAGTAGTAGACTCTCAGTTATCTGTGGGAATTCTAAAAGCTTTTTGTTACTGATTATAGCCTCCTATAATAACATAAATTCCCATTATCTGTTCCAGTAATGTTTAGCATTGGCATATTAATATGATTTTCAGTAGACTATACATTTCTACCCTGTTCCAACTTCATATTTTATTATTTCATTCCTTTTCACTCCAGCCTACTGCAGTTTATTCTATTTGAAAGATTTTGTATTTGTCTCACTGTTTAATGATGAGTAACAAGACCGTTGCACAATAATTATGCGATTTTGGGGTTGAATGCAGCATGGATAATAGGTATTCCACCCCCCACCCCCCCATTTTTTTGTTATCTTTTGTTTTTAATTATCTGCAGTGCTTCTCCCTTCCATAACCACAAATAAGTGAGAGTTTGCTGTACTAGTAAAACATTTGTAAAATGTAGTTTTTTTAAAAATCGTTATAGATTATAATCACTGTCATAAATAATGTTACTAGTAGGCAGAAAAAGACTTCTTAGGCCGTCAGAACAGCAACACACTTCAAATATGCTATACAAGCATACTAGCTGCTCTTGGGCCAAAATTTGCAGTGGCCACTTTAACCCTCCAACAGAGTCCAAAGTAAACAGCACACCTAATACAGAAGGAAGATCAAGTTTATTTTTTAATTATTTATGGTGAAACTTGATTGATATGATATCAAAGAGGAAATTGTGGGCTTTTGATTCCTATGCATAGGCATAATTTATAATCTTTTAAGAAATTCTCTGCCTCATCAGATGTGTTACAGTAAAGTCAAAGCCTCTGTCTACCATGGGGGAATTTTGTGGTGTGAATGCACTGAGACCAATGTGACTTCAGAGCGAGATTAGCTGTTTCTGCATCTTGATCAAAGCAAAAAAAAAATCAACTTTGTTGGGGAATTCTGTAGATACTGTATTTAAGCATCCTTTTGCATGCCGTATTAAAATGTCTATATAACACAGCCTGTCAATAATGCAACAGATTGTTCTTTTATGTTCCACTTACGAAAGGGGACCCAAAAATAACCGGAAACGGCCTGTTGCGTGCGCATGATTTGTAGTTACGAGTTGTGCTGCAAGGTGGTGTTAGCTGGGGGTCTCCCACGACTGTTAATGAGCTGGCGTCAGTCTGAGTTAAGTGGTTTGTCTGTGGTGCTCTGTTGTGTGCGTTCCTGTTTCAACCCTTTGGCGATTAGTGAGATGGCCAACCAGAAGGAACAAAGAGTGTGCGTGAAATTTTGCTTTCTGTNGAATCGCCAAAGGGTTGAAACAGGAACGCACACAACAGAGCACCACAGACAAACCACTTAACTCAGACTGACGCCAGCTCACTAACAGTCGCGGGAGACCCCCAGCTAACACCACCTAGCAGCACAACTCGTAACTACAAAGCATGCGCGCGCAACAGGTCGTTTCTGGTTATTTTTGGGTCCCCACTCGTATACTTACACACAAGTTTCGGCCATAGATGGCCATCTTCAGATGTTTTAATACATTAAAACTGCTACACTGCACTAATATGCATTAAAATGTGTTAAAAGTATAAGTGGAAGAAAAAAAAACAATTTGTTGCATTATTGACAGACTGTGTTATGCATAGACGTTTTGTTGGGGAATTTCAAGCACTGTTTCATGGTTCAGATAGGGCTTATTTTGTGTAGGAGTTTGTAATCACAAGAAAAAGCAAAATTTTTTTGAAAGTTGATCATGACTTATAACCAGTATGATGAAAGAATACCACTTCTACACACATCCATTTACTGAAGTCTTCTCCATTCCTCTATAAATGTGTCTTCTGCAGTTACCACATAGAAATCATCTAGTAACAATGTGCAGCTGTTGTCTAATGAAGAAGTGAAGAAATATTTTCTTTTTAGTGAATCTAAAAAATGTTCATCAGATTTGAAGTTTGAGTGTGTCAGTGAATTGGATGATTTTACTCTCTTTGATGCCATGATGAATCTTGACATTCTTTTTTTTAATTGCTAGTGGGGTGGGGCTAAGTCCCTTGTACTGCTGCCACTTCTGGCCTATTGTACCAGCCCCAGTTGATAGGTGAGGGTGATTGTGGAGCAATTGGTGGAATGCAGATTGGTAGGGAAACCGAAGTACTTGGAGAAAACCTGCCCCAGCGCCACTTTGTCCACCACAAATCCCACTTGATCAGACCCCGGGATCGAACCCGGGCCGCCGCAGTGGGAAGCCAGCGACTAACCACTTGAGCTATGATGTGGTCCTAGGAATCTTGACATTAAATGAATGTATGAGAGGTAGGCCTCCTCGGCCCTTGCACCACGACCTACAGTGGTCTATTGTGCTTAATCTTGACATTAGTAACGATGAATATTCAAGATATTGTGTGGGACGGCATGAAATGTTAAAAGTAGTAAAGAGAAAATTTCACAAGCAGTGTTTGACCTTAAAGCACTGTACAACAGTTGACAAATTGTGTACATTTTCTGTTTGTTTTCAACAAAAAACTGATCAGTCCAAGTGTTGAAGAGACATAAATATGGTGAGCAATTTCTACCCAGAAATAAATCACAAGAGGTCAGCTGCCAGGGCATGGAGACCTATGACTGGGAGAAACTGCATTGAGCCTATTATGCTCATGGGCATTATTTAGAAATGCCCTGAGATCATATTTTATCATAAAAATTGTAATTTATTGTATTAAATTGTTATATTATATTGTTATATAATTTATATGTAGTTTTTATTGGTTTTATAATGGGGAAAAGACTCAACATGAGGTGTTAATTTATTTCAATTTTTCTAACAGTGAAATCAATAGCTGTCACAGATCAAATAAACGTTTTACATAGATTTCATATAATTTCACATTTGTGCAGAATGTTTCTGGAGTTATGTTTCTGAAGCCAGGACATTTCATTCAATAAATCACTGACACTTTGAATAAAAGTGTCTTTCTTGAAAATGATACCTCCACCTTAAGCCATCAAAATTTGAGATAAAAATATACAATTTTTGTGGTCCAGTCACTAGAATTGTGTGGGCCTTTCTCTTCTGTGATAAGGACAAACTCAGAATGCCGAATCCCAATCACAACTGATAATAGTAAAACAATAACCATTGTCCTAAAACTGGTATACCATCTAACTAAGCAGGGCTGAAGGGAAAGTTGTAATTCACCCCATTTAGAGGAAACATGGAAGACCTACACAAGAACTCAGCCAATGAACCATTCAGCTCAGTGGTTATGTCCCACAGTTCATTGAATTAGTTCTTAATTCCAAGGGTAGTAGTCATCTGGATAAAGAGGAAACTCCTCACGTCCCTCTATCCTCTGTGTGAAGGGCAGACTAGTTCAAACATATAGGAAATTGTTACATTGGGAGAAGCTTTAAAACTAAACAATCTTAAAATTAAGTGAACAACAGCACTATTGAGTGTGACCAATTTGATTTAATTACATAAAAACTTTTACATGTTTCAGTCCTTAAGAGACCATCATCAGAAGGTGCTCAAAATGTGAGGAAGTGCTTTACAGGTATGAAGGTCAACTGCTCACCAGTTCTACACTATTGAAAAGTTCATTCATGAGAATCGGACTGGAGAGAGATCCACAGCAGATGGTATATTTTGTCTATCATCTATGGCAGCGATGGCCAACTGGCGGCCCGCAGGCCGTATCTGGCCCGCGAATTGATTTACTCCAGCCCCCCGCCAAGTCTCAGGTTTATTTTCAAAAATCTTAACTTCACAGCTGTATTGGTATAGAATTCAGTTTTTAATAGGACGTTTCATTAGCTTACAGCATTTTGCAATTGACTGTATATGTTCTTACCGAGTTGGACAGTTCAAACTGTTTTCTAATAACTGTGTTCATGTCATGGAAATTCCAAGTCCCCCAACCCTCCTTCTGTAGGGAGATGACACTGAAGGGAAGACAGTAGTGGTGAAGGATTTATGACACCTTCAAAATAATATCCATTCCCAGCTTGCTCGCAGGGATGGAATGTTTACCGTTTCTCTCGGCATCCTGGCCTTTGTTAAGGGCCAGTTTTAGCAGAAATGTCTCCCAGTTAGTGCGATT